AGTGAACTGGACAATGCCCCCCGACATGGGCACGGGCACTCCTGGGGACACGGGCTCAACCCACAAAATGCCCTCTGCCACCCCAAATTGCAATGGGGCCCCTGACCTCTGGGTAGATTCAGGTGACCTAACCTGGCCACCTGCACCCCAGGTCCCCACCCCGCCCTGGTCTCCCAGAGTACGTCAGACCCTGTCCCTGGAGTCTGGAGGAAGCACTTGTCTGCCCTCTGGTGACAGCCTCTGGAACTACGTCCCCAGTGAGGAGGACAGGTGTGGACGCCACACCCAAGCCCCAGGGTCTTCCCATCCAGCCCAAAGCCTGAAGCCTGGGATCCCCTGCTCCCTCAGGTCAGGTCAGATCTAAGCTTTGTCCCTCCTCTCTACCCCAGGGCCCTGCCTCAGCTTCTCCAGGTCGGGTCAGCCCTTCATGACCCCGTCCTGGCCTCACTCCCGTCAGCCCATCCCCCACATGACCCAGAGGGATACTATCTTCTTTTTTCCAGAGGGTTATTTCTTTCTTCTTTCTTTTTTCTTTTTCTTTCTGTTTTTTTTTTTTTTTTTCGTTTATTTTGCTAGAGGGTGCATGCGCTCAGACAGAAAGCAAGAAATCATACACACACACACATACACCCCGGGAGGATGGCCACACCACAATCCCTTCTCCTCTCAGGGTTTTTGGCACACAAGCGCCTGGCATGAGTTTTCAGCCATTGGGTCCAGAACTTGAACTGCAGTCATCTACATGGGAGTGCAGTGATGTAATAGCCATCAAGCCATCTGCTGGTCCCTAGAGGGATACTTCTGGATTTTGGGGGGTGGGGGGAAGGAGAGGTTTTTGATATAGGGCGCATGCGCTTGCCAGAGAGACAGAGAGACAGAAAGCGAGAAATCACCCCCGGGGGGAATGGCCACGCGGCAATCCCTTCTCCTCCATTCTCCTCTCGGGATCTTGGGCACGCACGCACACACGCCCGGCGTGAGTTTAAGCCACCGGGTCCGGGACTCAAACCATAGTTGACTACATGGCAGTCCAGTGACATAGCCATTACACCAACTGCTGGTCCCGCCAGAGGGGGATTTCTAATATTCTCACCTTTTCCCTGCTCAAAACTTTTCCCTGTGGTTTCACATCACTTTTTATTTAGTTAGTTATTTAGTTATTTGCTATAGGGCTCATGCTCTTGCCGGGAAGAGTGAGAAAGTGAGAAATGGGGAATGGCCACTTTAAAACCCTTTCTCCTCTCAGGATTCTGGGTGTACGAACGCATGCTCTTGGCATGTTTTCCAAGCTGCTGGGTTTGGGACTCGAACTGCATGCTTGGCATGTGGAATCCAGTGTCTTAACCACCACACCACTGGCTGGCCCATGCTTCACATTCTTTTCTTTCTTTATGTTTTAATAATTATTTTATCGGGGACCAGCAGTTGACATAATGGCTATGTCACTGGATTCCCATGTGGTTGACCATAGTTTGAGTCCCAGACTCAGTGACTTAAACTCATGCAAGGCGCGTGTGTGTGCCCAGGATTCCGAGAGGAGAATGGAGGAGAAGGGATTGCGGCGTAGCCATCCCCCCTGGGGGGTAATTTCTCACTTTCTGTCTCTCTGTCTTTCTGGCAAGCGAACATGTGCCCTATAGCAAAAACCTCTCCAAACAAAACAAGACAAAAAGAATTAAGTCTTAAAAAATTTAAAAAGAAAAAAAATTATTTTATCTAACTTTATGTATTTATTTTCATTTGACCAGAGAAGGGTAGGAGAGAGAGGGAGAGAAATTGAGAATGCAAGCTGCCAGATCTGAGACTCGAACCATGATCAGTCGTGTGGGAGTCCAACACCCTTAACCACCACTCCACCTGCCGACCCCTATTTTTATTTTTTAAAGAGTTATTTAATTGCTTGGTTCAATTTGACCAGAGGAAGTGAGAGAGAGAGAGAAAAAAAAAATTATTTATTTAATTTTATTTATTCACTTATTATTTTTAATTTACTTATTTTAAAATCTTTAATCATTATTCTTCAATTTTGACCAGAGGAAGACAGAGAGAAAGGGAGAGTGAGAAAGCAAGTCACCAGGTCTGGGACTTGAACCATGGTTGGCCATGTGGGAGTCCAGTGCCTCAAACACCATGCCACTCGCTGGCCCCTCATTCATTTATTTTATTTATTTTTTATTTTTTTATTTTTGGAGAGGTTTTTGCTACAGGGTGCGTGTCCTCTCCAGAGAGACAGAAAGTGAGAAGCATCCCGGGGAGTGGGGGGGCAACTCTGCAATCCCTTCTCCTCCATCCTCCTCTCAGGATCTTGGGAACACATGCACATGCGTCCAGAGTGAGTTTAAGCCACCGGGTCTGAGACTCGAACTACAGTCAACTGCATGGGAGTTCAGCGACATAGCCATTATGCTAACTGCTGGTCCCATTCATTAATTTTAATTTGACCAGAGACACACACACAGAGAAGGAGAAAGTGAGAAAGCAAGCCACCAGGTCCCGGACTCGAACTGTGGGAGTGTCCAGCGCCTTAATCACCGGGCTGCCTGCTGTTCCCCCACATTATTTTAAACTAAAATCTAAAGTCCCTACATGGCTTGCTTGCAGATCCTGTGTGAGCTGATCCCCAATATCCTCCCCACATCAGCTCCTATGGCTGTTCCCTGCCCTCCCTTCACTCCAACCACAGAGCCCCGTCATTGAGCAGATCTGACCCCAGGGCCTTTGCATTTGCTGTTCCCCTGACTGGAATGATCTTCCCTAGACCAAGGCGGAGGGAGCCTCTCCCTGCCCTCACCAGCCTTGTTTGTCTTCAGAGCTCTTCCTCCTGAGTTTCCTCGTGTGCCTCCCTTCCCCACTGGGAGCTGGGAGCCAGCACCTACGCCAGCATGCCCATAGCAACAGAATGCCAGGCCCAGCCTCGGTGGTGCAGGCGGTGTACCCACAGCAGTGCTGGGCTGCTTGCCTGCTGCAAGCTCGGACCAGGCGGACCGGAAACACACCGGATGTGCACCTCCAAGCCCAAGACCCTGACTGGCTGGAGGGCTGGGTGGAGGGAACCATGGCGTGACCAACCCTGTTGGAGTGTCTGTCTCTGTCTCTCACTGTCGTGAAAGAAAGAACATTTTTTTTCAAGAGGTTTTTCGCTATAGGGCACGTGCGCTCGCCAGACAGAGAGAGACAGAGAGACAGAAAGCGAGAAATCACCCCCCGGGGGGATGGTCACGCCGCAATCCCTTCTCCTCCATTCTCCTCTTGGGATCTTGGGCACGCACGCACACGCACCCGGCGTGAGTTCTAAGCCACTGGGTCCAGGATGCGAACCGCGGTCGACTACGTG